AAAAAGTTTTGCGGTTTCAATCATATAAAAGTCAATGTTGTTCGAGGTCTTTGAAGGTACAATACCGCTCATAATTCGTCAAAAAAGTCTAGTGATGTGCGCCGCACATCACTAGAGTCCATCGGAATCCGCGTCGCATCGCCATATCTCACTTTAGAATGGACAAATTCTGAATCCGAAGACACCGAGACACCGTTCGATTCAGCTCGGCTAGACGCATCATCTAGTTATATAGGAGCGCTACAATCTAACAGGATATGATAGGTATACGCTAGACTGTAGGTTTTCGCTCAATTTTGCAGATTTTTGTTTGGTTATGTTCAGTTTGCTGATAACAGTATTGCCATTGATTTGTCGCTGATGACACATAGAAATTATGCCATAGGAGTATGGTAGAGAGCCCTCTGATCGTTGTTCTTAAACCTGCTCAAGATCACAGTATCGCTCACAGAATATGCAAAATTTCCGTGAAATTCGCGAAATTCCGGGATTTTCGCTAGAGTCCGCGATAACCCGGAAAGTTCGCGACATTCCAGGATCCGCGGAATACGCAACGCCATAACTTTTTTCGAAATGAATGTATTCTAAATCCGGAAGCAGCACCGTGTTCAGATCGTCAAGGCAAATTTTTGTTGTACAGCATGCCCTCGATATTCCGTTTCCGGTTTTCTCGAACTTTTTTCTGTGGAGGTCCTTTCGCAAGGATGTAGCGCGGTGTCTGTGTAATGTAACATAAAATATTTCAGTAAGCACTATTCGATAATACTGCTCTTGTAGGTCATCGTGCGTTCAAAAGTGGCTGCAGACTGTCTTTTAAAAGAGATAGAAGCGTCGGTGAATTCTGGAAAGTCACGCGTACTTAAATTCTACTCGCCGTAACTTCCTTCGGAATGAACATATTCTGAATTCAAAGAAGTGCTCAGTTCATCAAGACAAGTCTTTTGATGTGCAGCATGTCCTTGATATTCCGATTTCAGTACTCTCAGATCTTTCTGTGGAGGTTTTTTCGCAAAGGTGTAAGGCAGCGCGCATAGAGTTCTAGTAGATTCCATCAAGGACCTTGCGATAGTACTTATTGTATAGATTATGGAGCTCTAAAAAGTAGTCACAGGCTTCTTTCCAATGGAGATAGAAGGGCAGGTAAATTGTAAAAAAAATCTTGTTGTCTCAGATTCTACTCGTCGTAATCCTAGAATACGAAGCTATCTTGCTAAGCAGAGAGTTTGGTAATCAGCAGGTTGGATAACCCCTACGAGCAAGTTTTCAGAGAACTTCAGGTTATTTGATTTTTTCTCGTTTCACGCTCTCGAGCTCGGCAGTAGGTTTTGGTCGAAATGTTGATGATCTTGGTTTGGAAGGAAACTTCGCTCATAGAGGTTTTCGAACCATGCTGTTTATGAAAATCGTGCTCTCTGTCAAGTATAGGGTCTTTTTACAGAGGTATGGTGAGGTAACTGTAACGGAGTCACGAAAGCTCGTAACTTCGCCTGCACCTCTCGCGTATCTGTCAGAAAACCTGCCTGAGTGCTTATGCATGTTAAAGTTACTAGGAAGTGTGCCATCGAATGGTGCATGTCTCAAACTCCAGTATATAGAAATCGCCGAGTTACAAGCCTACGAAAACACGTCCTCATGCATTTTGCCCAAGATGTAAAGATCGCATTTCGTCGAAATTTCACCGTGACTGGTTATGACAGTCTAAATGCAAGTATTAAGTTCACTTTGCCCAAGGAATCCCACTGTATTGAATATGGTGGGGCTGGAGCTCAGAATTATTTAACTACCAAATCCACAAGAAGATCCATTAAGCGATGTAAGCAGATTTGATCAGCGTTTTATGCAACCAGTCACGTGGAATTTTATACAACCAGTCACGGTGAAATTTCGACGAAGTATGCGGTCTTTACATCTTGAAAAAAATGCATGAGGACGTGTTTTCGTAAACTTGTAACTCGGCGATTTCTATATACTGGAGCTTGAGATATGCACCATTCGATGGCACGCTCCCTAATAACTTCAATCTTCATAAGCAGTCAGCCAGGTTTTCTGACAGATACGCGAGAGGTGCAGGCGAAGTCACGAGCTTTCGCCCATTATAGTTTCACCATATCTCTCCAAAAAACCCTATACTTGACAGAGAACACAATTTTCATAAACAGCGCGTTCGAATACCTCTATGAGCGAAGTTTTCTTCCAAACCAAGATCATCAACATTTCGAACAAAATCCACCGCCGAGCTCGAGAGCGTGAAAAACGAGAAAAAATCAAATATCCTGAAGTTCTCTGAAAACTTGCTCGTAGGGGTTATCCAACTTGCTGATTACAAAACTATTTGTTTAGCATAGCTTCGTATTCTAGGGTTGCGACGAGTAGAATGTGGGACAACAAGATTTTTTTTTACAATTTACCAGCCCTTCTATCTCCATTGGAAAGACGCCTGTGACCACTTTTTAGCGCTCCATAATCTATACAATAGGTACTATCGCAAGGTGTCTGTCCTCGATGGAGTTTACTAGGGGCAGTGCGCGCTGCCTTACACCTTTGCGAAAAGCACGAAAAAATCCAGGAACGGTACATATTAATGTCTGATGTAGTATGCAGTTTTTATGAGCTAGGAAACTCGTAGAATATTTTTGAACAAAGATGTGAGTTTTCGGCGATTTTTTGGGCCTTTAGTACGACTCAGATTCTATGCAAACTTACAGTGGATCGAAGTTGGTGCGAACTTCTGCGTACCATCTTGACTTATGTTACAACCTGATATTTTCACATCTCAAAACTTGGAAACAAAACGCTAAATCTGAGATTTTACGATGATGGGAAAGACTTTGCAGGTTGGACATCCTTAGACGAGTATTAACTATAACTTGGAAAATTCCTGTCAGACAGGCTTCGCTCGAACAAGAGACGCGTGAAGGTTTTTTGCTTTTTTCCAGTTTGCAGATTTTTTTTTCTCGAGCAGGATTCCAAATTAGACTAAGGTAGTTAAGATGAAGGCAAACAGTGCTTTGTCAGAACAGGTACGTACAAACAAGGAGGTGTACGGTACGCCTTTCTAACAGCAGCATCGATATGTTCAGAAAACTTAAATCTCTGGCATCAACATATACTCCCAAGTCCTTAGCTGAGCCGCATGATCCCAGCATTGTCTACCACACAAGTACCAGCGCAGCCCATTTCTCGTGTGCAAAATACAACTCTTATCAAGATCCAAAATTTGATTGCAAGACGAAGCCGAACTCACTAATTTATCGAAGGATATTGTGAAGCTGACTGCACCTCAAAACGGTCCTCCGCACCATGAATTCCATACACTTTCATGTCATCAGCATATATGTGAATCTTTACTTTTTGTGAGGTGCGAAGCAAGGCCGGTAATTACAATGTATAAAAAACAAAGAGAATAGGAGAAACTCCTCCTACAGGGACAATGCTTGTGCAACAATAAATTTTTCAGTGCTTGTCCTGAACTCTAACGGTCACGTAATGATCGTGCAAGTAAGATGTAAATCGGGATAGGATTCCTCCCCTGTTTTACTTAGGCAAAAGCCGCCGCAGAATGTGCCGCGCGGCAGTGGTCCTGTGCGGAAAGCACTACGGTCGTGCGAATCGTCCTACACCCGCTTTCGATAGGTCTACGTATAGCAGATCAGCACATCTATTGCAATTCAAGGCGAGAGTTCAGCCATAAATGTTATGCGACCATATTAGTTGTCATAAAAGCTTCATTAACGAATCCATGCTGATCAGCAGGGACCAGGTCAGATCTGTTGATCCAAGACAAAAGTTTATCACGGATATGCTAGGTTGCACATAAGTCTTGCAAGTTATTTCGTCATTTTTCTCTCTTTGAGCGTTTTTTGAGCGTTTGTATAGGTAGTTTTTGAGCTTCATTTTTTTTCGTTTGTATAGGTAGTTTTTGAGCTTAATTTTTGAGCGTGATGTATAGGTAGTAGGCTACAAATGTACTCAAAAAGTTTGGTTTTGGTGGCGAAGTGGAGAAAATTCATGCATTTTTCGAAAGGTGGTCAAGTACGAAATTACAGGGTCAGAAAACCAGAGCTAAACCCGTTTTCGGTCTGAATCGAACACATCAAGCCGAAACTATACGGGTCATTAGAGATTCCTCTATTCAACAATCTGGGTATAGCTTCGGCTCGATTTCTTTGATTCCGACTGAGAACGGGTTATTTATTGTGTTCTGACCAATTCAACCTCGAACTTGAACACCTTTCAAAAAAAAAGCGTAAGATGAATGATCAAAGAATGCATCACAGTCAGAAGGAGAACAGTTACGAGACAAGCCGCAAAACTTATGTGCCAACCCAATACTTCTCCATCACTTTTGCAACTGCCGGTATAAGACTGATAGGGCAATATTCTCTCACCAGCTTGGTACCCTGGACCTGGATAGCTGTCACAAATGTATGCTTCCATAGTACAGGGACCTCACCTAATAGCATGGAATTGAATGTGTGTGTGTCAGAGTAATAGCCAGCGATGAGGCACATTTCTTATATACAATTTGGGATATACCATCATAAGTTTCAGTAGCGGAGCTTTTGATCTGTCTTGAAATTCATCGCACTTCAAACGATTCAAAAAAATATAGAGGAAATTTAACTCACTTTTGGCACTTGCAGTTATCTTCAGATGCAGCAAAACTGTTTCCAGAATTGAAGACACTGGCAAAGTTCTCTCCAAAAGTTTTCACCTTATCGGGATTGCTTTAAAATTGGACACCAAGCTCATCTTCAAGAGTGAGCAGGTTGAACTTGGCCTCATTTTTGCATTGATATAAAGAAGGCTTCAAGGAGACTTAAGTGCAGGCCGACACCCACGAATAGACAGAAACTTTTTCATATTTTAGTCAATGTTTGAGCAAACTTCCTTATACGGATCAACATGCAAAGGATCGCAATGTTTTTCAAAAAGTCGGCACTTTTGCAGGTTTAGTGCTTGTGTATATGGAGGCAATTCAGCATTAGCCAAACTTGGAATTTTTAACGGAACAACTATACTGATAACTTTCTATAATATTTTACAAAATCTTTCATATACATCGGAACACATCTATATTGATCAAACTAAGCCAATCAGTTTCAGAAACTGATCATTCAAAGCATTGTAGTTAACTTGGTGAAAGTCAGGAACCGGAAATGGAAGGGTGGAGAATTTGGAAATATCAAGCACTTCAGAACGAATCCCATGGTCAAGAGCAAAGTGTTGGAAACAGGCTCGTATTGAAAAGCACTAGGTTAAAAGTATGTCTTTCATTAAGGTAGATGTAATATGTACGAGTTTATTTCTAATATAACAAGTCAAAAATGATGCAGATGCGCTATTCAAAGCTTTTGAATTCACTCAGTCAATCTGTAAGTTGATATCTCCAAGTATGACAGATTCAACATTCTCACTAACGAGAGCAAAAATACTGATTATATGCAAAAGACCGTCATCATTCTTAGTAGAATTGGGTGGGCGGTAAACGGTTAAAAAACGTGTACGATTAATACGATCAACGTACTCAATATTCTGACAGACCAGAATCTTAAAGTTCACAGTAAGCTAATCAGATTTCTAAGATGCTACAGATGTTTTGACTGCTTGTTATAAGGTACCACCTTGAGCTTTTTTCTCGATTAATCAAAATATTGCCTGTTTGCTGCGGTAGCGGAAGCTGATTTTTAAAGAACCTAATATTTTAATAAGCACTAGAAGTTTTGCGTAGTCTGCACTGAAAATGACGCAGATAGGTAAGGGAGGGAAGGAAAGTAGGATAGTATTGCATTAACTAGACTTGTAGAAAGTGAGCACTTCATGATTTTATGTACTAGTCGTAATTGATGCTCTCTTACTGTCTACAAAGATTTATCTATAGATTTTGTGGCTCTTGATTCTCTCAAGATCAATGTGTCCGCCTATGATATTTGCTTCAATTTCGCACTCATTTGTGCCACGGACTATGCGGAAAGACCCTAAAGACACTCAATATGTTGTTCATACGAACACGAATACGAAAATTGAGATAGTGCCCACCGTTTTCGCCCCAGTCGGTGTTCCATGAGTTAATAGCCAACCAGTACTTCTTACCTCCTCTTTCTTCACCCCATCCAATAATTTTAACAACATGCCCTTTTTCGTCTTCAGTACCCCAAGTGTGCTAAAACGATAAACATGGTGTTCCGATTTAACGCTGTCTATAGGAATTTGACCTGACCTTGTAAATTCCCCTCCAATACGAGCTAAAATCGCTCCAAACGTTCATACTTGCCACTACTGGTCCGTTCGTCATTATTTCTCTCTGGATATCATTTTCGTTCGCCACGACAGAGTACCAAGTGCTTCCTGGAAACTTGAGATGTTGACTTTTATTGTCTTTTTTTCAAAGAATCATGCAATTTAGATAGCAGCTTTTCGCGGGAGCGATGAGACTTTAATGAATAGTCGCATGCAAATGCAGGAAGGAGATAGAAGCCACTGACATCACTGTGAGAACCAGCGGGGACACAGTTGGCAGAAATGATAGTTTAGATTACATGTCGTAATTTACTTTGAACTAACACTTTTCGGACTGCTGCTGTACATGGTGCAGCATGCAGCTTTGTAGGGTCTTATGAATCTTACAGAGTTTTGTTACACTTCAAAGAATTCAAGTCAAAGGTCTAGGTCCGTGCTTTATGATAATTTTATGGAGCTGTGCCGCAACATCCCTTCAGGAGATACGAAGACAAACGTAGTGCGGCAACGTGAACGAGCCTGCGACGGCGCAATTTCTACTTACCTTTCAAAAAAGCGGCATTTATGGCATCGATGTATACCGTGTGCGACATAGGATTCACTAATCGATTTTGCTTTTATATATTTCCATCTTCCAGAAAAACGCATTAGTCCTTCTTATGTTAGATCACAAAATACAAAGGTTTCAAATTTATTCGGAACTTTGGGTATGGAGCTTATCTGACATGCTGATCAAAGATATAGTGCTTGTTCCACGAAATTAGGTCACTTTTTTGACTAGAGAACAAAAGTGCATGCATTCTTGCTGCGATTTCGCGGTGCGCGACGTATTAACATTCCAATTAAGATTTTCCTGCATCTCAGAATAATGAACTAATCAAATTTAAAATAAAGTTAACTAATATAATGAAGCATGCTTTGTATAAAACGAAAGTGAGAGTGTTACAACACTCTAAAATAGTAGACGGTTTTCTACTAGCTATTCACCCTTAACCAAAACGAAGTTTGCCAAATGGTACAGGCTCCGTGATTCTGACTCATCCGCAACAACATCCACTGCGCTGCAGTTGCATTTTGAATGCAGCCGAGGAGATAAGATCATAAATCAACAGCCTTCTACTTCCCCTTGTAAAGACAATGCTGCCTTTACATATCGCTCAAATACCTCCTGTTGTCTAGAGTCGAAGTCGCTTATCGAACTACTCGCTTCTGATTAGCCCTGCAAACTACAGCTGCCATTTATAAAAATGTTCGAGAAGATTACATTTTATTAACGGTCACTGTCCTCAGATTTGCATAGGCATTTGTGTGTAATACTTACAGGCCCGGCTTTGTTAGCCGCAGAGGTATGAGGCGCAAGATTTACAGCGGTAAATATACGCGCACCACGTGCGCGCTCGCTCAATTGATACTGCTCCTGCGCCATCCACCTGAATAGCTTTTGCGGTAAAGTCGTTTCTCAAATGCATCATGAAACTATCATTTGATTAAATTGATACATCATTCTCGAGGTTAAAAAGGATTACATGATTAACCGGCTGCTTGAAGAAGAGTTACTAAAGTTTGTGTCTCGAGATCAGGGCTCGGCACGAGGTGGCTTACAAGCAAGCTGGATATCGTTTTTGGTACGAAAAGCAAAGGGGGTTTCGTTTTTGTGATCGAAGAGACACGGAAAATTGGCGACGGCGACCTTTTTTTTAAGTCGACGTTTCGTTTTTTGGGGGATTTTGGGGAATTTTTCAGGTTTTTAGAGGAAATTTGGTTGAGGGTCAAAGGGGACTTCGTAAAAATTCCCAAAAGTCAAGCGGGACTTCGTTTTTTCCATTTTCATCTAACCACCTCGTGCCGAGCCCTGCTCGAGATTGGACGAAAGCGCAAAGTAGAAAAAATTTGCTGCAAAATATCGCTTAATTTTGTATTCTTTTCTTGTGATGTTCTTCGTCAGTCATTGCAAAACACTCTCGCAAAAATTCCGAGGTTGTCTACTTACCATAGAATTTGTCCTCTTCGTACTCCTTTTCGTAAGTGAGTTGACAGGTTTTACGGCATACTGGTGTTTCATGTTTTGTACAATAACCGTAGTAGGTTTGATTCGCGTGTCTTCCGCATGGGTATAATGCATACGGCTTGCAACAATTCTGAACATATTTACCCTTGTTATATCTCAAAGACAGTTTACCAGTGCTCGGCACAGATGGCTTACGAAGCATGCTGGATATTGTTTGGGGGTGAAAGTGGAATAATGGAATATCGTTTTTACAGAATCCGGGGTTGAGGCCATAAAAAGGCACATATCAGCTTTGTGCTATATATGAGAAAATCGCTAATTCCTTCGCGAAAAAAAATGAAATCTCAGAATTGATTAAGGATTTGTTTAGTATTTATTGCGATCACAGAAGGCAATTATATTGGTTAACTTTGAGAAGTAGTCAACATTACGCCTATCAAGTCGAAGAAATTTTTACACCCCTCCGCCTGACGAACAAACCCTTCTATAATATAACGCAAATTATCCCATCGCTAGTGTCATATATATATATATCATTCGCTTACATGCTTCTAACTTTCATAGCCGTAAAACTCCTTTCTTTTACTTCACCTCCTCACTGTTTGTAGACGTCGGCAGTGCTGATCACTGCTCGATCGCCTTCATTCTTTGCAAAACTAACAATAAACTAACCAACAAAACTAATAATATGAAAAATTGAAAAAACTATGTGAAGTGGAGTTGCTGCAAACTTTATCAGAGTTAGGTGGCTTTCAAGCTACCTGGAGAGCCACCTTTGTTGGTTAGAGCAAGAAAGTCATAAATTTCCCTCCATGTACTTTTCAAAATTCTTTACATAACTTTAATCTACATTCAGAACCCTACAAGCGAGCTTTTGAACCTCTCAAATCCCTCCTCCCCGCCTAGTTAAGTCTTCTAAGATTGGATGCATTCTGCACTAAGTGCCAGACACAGCATACCGCTTCGGATAATTCCCACATCATTAGGTTATTCATCTTCTTTTCAATAAATTATGCATTCTATTCTGTTTTTCTTTGTTATCCATGTTAAGTTTTTTCACATGTCATATGGGATGTCGTATTTTTATTATGAAGTCAGCAGGGACTTCCGTCTGCCAAAGTCACCTCGTAACCGTGATTATTACTCACCCTCTCGCGATAACTGCCTCCAGTCACTAGACCAGACTCCTTGAAGTAGTTCCAAGCCTTAGCCACATAACCTCCATCACACCTTGGAAGGAATGAAATAAGCTAGGATACTCATAAGGATAGGATAATAAGCTCATTTAAAACGAAAGTATTTTTCGTCGAAGTGGGAATTCAAGGTGAGATTATCTCTGTAGTCAATAATGAATGCTGATCTCTAAACTTGATTCTCATCTGCTGAAAGCCTTGTTGAAACACAGCTACTATTTCGTAATGGCTGTATGTGAGCACAGCGGCACTCCATGGCTCTGTGCAAGTATGCTCGCTCATCGCACTGAACCTTCCCTCAGCGAGTATTTTCGCTATTTTTTGAAATTTTTCAGTCTTTCGCTTTTCTCAATGCCAAACACGAGGTAGAAATTTGATAATATGCTTAACAATATCTCATCTCAAACGTCCAGCTCCGATGAAAGATACATTTCAGTATTATGAATGTTTACCCATTTCCGCAAGATCCACAGCAAGCAAGTAAATCAGTGTCCGAAATGTGCACCTTAATTAAACAATGTTTTAGATTAGATGCACCGACGAATAACAAGTATGCGCTTACGGCATAGATTACGATTTCTGAGGCCATCCAGAGAGCCGGGGCAAAAGAAAGCTCTGATTAAACGCGCAAAGGGTCTGATCATCAGAGTCATTTGATGCCGTAAGTTTTTAAGCACTTTGTTGTTGTGCGAACTCATTTTCTTGAAACGAGATTGTGTCAAGTCAAATATAGGTCGAGAAGCGGAAATTAATTTCAATTAAGTGTCGAAAGATTGGCCACGTTTCATTTGGTTTTAGCCCTAGGCCTATGATGTCAAAGTTCCAGTCAATCTAGTCTTTCAATCTTGAAAACGTTACCACTCAGTTCTCATCAATACGAACACTCCTTTTGGGAGAGTTTGGATCTTACATATAGCTGAAACATATAAACAGGGCTGTGTGGCGTAGTCAGCTTTTTAAACGCAGATGCTCGAAAATCTATCGTGATAGATAAAGCATTTGGACAAGAGGGGTATTTTCAAACTGCGACGGTTATTTATTCGTATATTCGTGCGGTCCTGCATCTTGAAAATCTAGAGTTTGTACGCCCCGACAAAATGTAAGTTGAAATGAAGTTATCATTTTATCTTCAAAACATGTCAAACAGAAAAATCGCAAAATCGGAAAGAATTTTTTTTTCAAAGTGGATGTACAGTATACTTGGGTAATTCGATAATTTTTCATCGAATGAATGAATATCGAATAAATTCAAAAACAAAAAATCTCGAATAAACGAATATCGAATAAATTCGGAAAATCAAAAACATCGAATGAATGAATTCCGAATAAATTCGGAAAATCAAAAATATCAAATGAATGAATATCGAATATATTCGAACATTGGAAGTCGAATTTCGAATAAATATTCGAGTGATTTATCGAATAACTAAAGCAATCACATCTCAAACTTGCCGACATATCTGGCTAAAGCCGATCCAATTATAATCAGCCCCCTAGTATCCCCTATACCAACTCCTAGCTCAAGGTTTTTTCAAAAATCGGTGAAATCGATGGTAAATTTTATTTTTTATCAGCGCCCTCATTTACCCCTCTACCAACTCCCAGCCCCGCAGCTCAAACTTCTCCATAAATCGATAAAATCGATAAAGTAAATTTTTATTCATAATCCGTGAAGGTGCACATGCCAGCTTTGAGCGGTCGCGCGCGTCGTGTAAGCGGCTGCACTTCGTGATCCTTGCGCGTTATGCACCGCACGGGTAAGAACCGCATTTATACACCTTGATCCTGCGGCTTTGTTCGACAGCAGATCTTATTTGTCAGGCTTCCACTGGATTTCAAAGACGTTTAGCAGAGTAAAGATAAAATTGGCTGGAGCTAAAAACAAAAAATAAGAAACATTGCAAATTGATGTAAGCACCTAACGAGCTGTTCGGATTCATAGCGCTAGGTGTGCGACCTTGTGAAGCAATAAGGTGGCCACATATGTACTTAAATTCCACAAATGCTGCGATACATTGCCTGTTCATCGGAGACTTTCGTCTTGTGTGGTATACGCTAGTCGTAGACGAAGGCATGTGTTTTCCTCCGCGAAGCGAGCACGAATGCTCCTATAACCCCGGGCATACTGCAGGCATTTCAGTGGCGACGTGGTATGGCAATACTCAAATTGTCCAAAACTATTCTGAAAGTACAAAATGTAGGGCATCTATCATTTTAGTATGTTGTACACGCTAAATATTTGTGGTAAACTGCCATTACATCTGAAGACATCTCGTAACTGGCAAATCGCGTACGGCGATCTAAGCGTCTAACCCTGCACTACAACTGCGATGTCCTTTACTCAGTATACACCAATTCGCAAAAAACTCCAAGGTAACAAATAGGCAGTTTTGAAATGATTTATGCGAGCAAGAGTGCTCACTAGTGTGGGCTTTGCATACCGCAAGCATGAGCAATGCAAAAAAAGAAGAACAGCCATTTCAATTCAGTATGAACTCAGAACATGAGCTTGAATTTGATATCTTCTTTGCTGATTTGGTGCCAATAGCAGTGCGAACAATCTCACTGATCGAGAAAACATCAATTAAACTTATGATTTTTTTACTGTCGCAAGCAGTCGGAAAAATGCGACTCTCCATACAGTTCAAAGGTATACCGGTTGCAAAAGATGCACTACCGAGTTTTGCGAAAAAAACGCGAACGAAGTGAGCTTGAAACTCAGCATTTGTCTCTGCAACAAAGTCGAATAATCTGAATACGAAGTACATTCGAATACGAATTCGAATAAACATTCGAATAAAACATTCGAATAAAATCATTCGAAACCCCGTTTTTTGATTATTCGAGTTTTCGAATAATATTCGAAACCCTGTTTTTTGATTATTCGAGTTTCGAATTTTATTCGAAACCCCGTTTTCTCAATTATTCGAGTTTCGAATATTATTCGAAAATGGAAGAACTCCGAATATCGAATTTCGAATACGAATATATTCGAATGTTTTAATCGAATGATCGAATTTCTATTTGATTCGGACCCAAGTATAATGTACAGTTAGATTTATACGTCTCGTTCGAAATGATTCGGCACAAAGAAAAACCGTTTAGTGCGTAGTGTGCTTATTGTTGTTGTTGATAGATATTAATCAGGCATTTTGAGGTGAAACTATCAATACCTTAACAGACTAAAGCAACGTTGGTGGGAGAACAATTTTTTGTGTTCGCTCAGACCCTTATGTACTACCCCGTCGGAGAGGTCAGGGAATCTGTGAGCCAACCTTAAAGGTGCGGCTCGGCGGAAAGACAACTCTTGGAAATTTTCATTCGCATTCCCCTGGATGAGCTAAGTCCAAGGCTGTGCTTTGCAGCTTCAAAAGATATTGATAGCCTGCTTTTCCAGACGTGAGAAGTGCTGTTGGGGCAGGTCGTTAAAGTAATTGCTCTAGCCAATAACCCAGTTGCCGTCAAGATAGGTACGATGTCTCCACTCACGAGCCAATCGCGCTCTAGAGGAGGCGTACGCCGTGCACTCAAATAGCACTTTTACGTGCGGATTTTGATACCTTTGAAGCTGCAAAGCACTCGTGGACTTAGCTCATCCAGCGGGACCGAGAACGATGAGTATCCCAAAGTCGTCATCCGCCGAGCCGCTGCCTTAATCTTCAACGCCTATAGTCATGCACTTTTTGGTGCTTGCCCATTTTTTGGTAACTTGATTGTCAGCATATGTCCAAAGTCGTACCATTTTATAAACTACGTTTTTGATGTTTTTAAAAACCGCATCACTTCTCTGAAGTCATCTATTTTTTTATGCTGATAAAAACTTTGCAAAGATGTACCGATTAGCCGACAGCAATGAGTGGTTTTTGAGAAGAACAAGTGAAGTCTTGAAGTGATTGACCATGTTCGCCCCAACTCACTTTCGCGATGTGGCTCATTCTAGATTTCGCAATTCTTGATTTTTCATTTTCGCATCAGGGCCCTGATGTATTGAATTCTTTGCACGCTTCGGTCACATCGTTTTTCTTCATTTCTTATCGTTAGTCTTCTATTGTGATAACCGAGTTGGAAAAAAGCAAGTTTTAGGGGTCACAGAAAACACCAAAATCTATAGCGCAGATAGCAGTTATTCAATTGTAGGAGAAGGAAAGTTGAGCCACTTGAAAAATATACATCCTCGGTTTGCATGACTACTCTGTCCGGCGGATGCACGCGTGTGGAAGGCTCTAGCTTCAAGCATCCATGACAATGGTCAAGCGTGAGGTCAGACAGGGCCGCCTTAGGGCCACATCTATTGACATCCTCGCCGGGGAGAGGATTCAGCTTAAAAGAAAAGCTTCATATCCTAAAGCTCCAGATATCTGGATTTCAAGTTGTCTACCTATCCGTAAGTATTTCTACTATCCTTTACTATGAACACATTGAACAGGAGCGAGAAGCTGTACAAGCCACATTTTCCTGATTTCCATACGATCTTCTGATAATCCCCAGCGCCCGACCGTCATTCGTTCAAGATCATTTTTCTTTTTTTGGTGTTAATGAAAATGCGCCAAAGTTTCACTGATTATCTAACCAAACAGTGCTAAGCATCCTTTTGATAAGAACAAGTGATATGTTGGAATTATGAAATTTGCGATGAATTAAGTCGAATGTTGGGGTTTATCAAAAAATTCGACTTTTCAAAAACTCATCTGTTCTTATCAGCAACATGTTTAGCACTGTTGTGTTAGATGTTAAGCACAACCTTGGAATAACTTGAAAAAGGAGAATGACTTTGAATAAAAGACGGTTGGCCACCGGAAATCAAGGTATACAGCGTGAAATCCAGATATCTAAAACTTCAAGATTTGAAGCTTTCTTTCTAAGCTGCGATCCCCTCCCCAGCGGGGATGCCAATGCATGCGGCTTTTAGAGAAACTTATATTAAAAGAGAAAATGGAGTACTACTTCCAATGGGATGGATCGATCTGGACGAGAAGAAATGACTCCTGACATCAAAAGCTGGATTAACGCTTCAAAAGATTTTTCATTCATTTTTTTGCTGATGTCAAATAAGCAACAAAGCAAACATGGCTGTACTTCTCACAAGAATTTGCGATAAATCTGTTACTTTTACTACATCTAACCTTTATTTGAATATCACTTTGAGTGAAAGTATCACTTATTTTTACGCTAAGCCCACTCTTGAACATTATCGAACAGAAAATGCAACCGTTGCGACTAAAGCTGATCCTATCCCATTCAGGGCTAGGTACAGGTTATGAAAGCACGCTTGTTCTTCGTTTTGGCGGCAAAAAGGGAAGATTATTGCAAAATCTTGTACTACTATGCGGACCCAACAAAGTCAGACCACTCTTAAAACTTACCCTCTGTTTCACTGGAGTTGGCTGCTGGAGGGCGGGGTTCAGGTCGATTGGAGAGCACGCACGCGAGGGAGATGCAGAGCCTCCTCTCCATAATTATGTGCTCTCTTATCGGTCGAGACCCGCCCTCCAGCCGCCAACTCTAGTGAAATAGAGGGCATGACGCAAACCCCTTCCTGGATTTATTGCCATACAGTGCTACTAAAGTGCGGTTCATAATTGTACGAACACCCAAAATTTTGTAAGTTTTTGGACTTTTTGGGAGAAACTTAAAAAGCCGTTGGTACCATGCGATAGAACACAGCCGAAAACGGTATATGATTCATAAGAATGGAAATCGATGTCAACTGTAGGAGTGTTTTTGCGCCCAATGCGAATTTTTAGCGGTTCATAATTATACGAACACCTCAAACAAAGGTCCATTTTTCATTCAAGATTGCAATTATTTGAGTCCAAATTTTTTGTAGAGTTACAGTGACAAAGTCTGACATATCTGCTATACACTAAACCCAGTGCATTTTAAAACGAGGACCGTTACTTTTTTTAAAAGCTCTAAATGCTTTTGGAGTGATTGCTCTCCAAAAACATCCGTTCTTCTGTGGTTTACGCGCTCTAATTAGCTTCTACCAAAGCTATGAGATGAAATAAGTTCTTACGATAGGTATTTTGTTTGGCGCTTGGAACATCTTTGCGTTTGCGTGCCGTTTTTCAACCAGGTTCCAACCTTACTTCAGATTTAGCACAATTTCGAGCCTCAAAACTCAGCTTCTGAAGCCGTACAATGAAGTAAGCATATGGTATAGTTTACAAAACTGTTTATTTGGCTAGAAAAAATCAGCAGCGTTGAGCGTTTGTTTTGGCCACGCAGACGTCATTTCACCAAAAACACTGTTTTTACTATTGCAATCACACCTCTATTTGGTTTGTAGCTCCGCAGGCTCAAGATCAGTTCTACAAAAAACCCAAAAACTTTGGCACAGAAACATTATCACGCAAGCAATGCAGCTGCTTCATATCAAATGTTTGCGCAAGAGAGAAGCTGAGTTTTGAGGCTCGAAATCGTGCTAACTCTGTGGTAAGGTTGGAACTTGGTTGAAAAACGGCACGAAAACGCAAAGATGTTCCAAGCGTCAAACAAAATACCTATCGCAAGAGCTTATTTCATCTCATAGCTTTGGTAGAAGCTAATTAGAGTTCGTAAATCACAGAAGAATGGATGTTTTTGGAGCCCAATCACTCCAAAAGCATTTAGAGCCTTCTGAAAAAAGTAACGGTCCTTGTTTTGAACTGCACTGGGTTCAGTTTGTAGTAGATATGTCGGACTTTGTTGCTGTAACTCTACAAAAAATTTGGACTCAAACGATTGCAATCTTAAATGAAAAATGGACCTTTGTTTGAGGTGTTCGTATAATTATGAACCGCTAAAAATTTGCATTAGGCGCAAAAACTCTCCTACAATTGACATGGATTTCCATTCTTATGGATCATATACCGTTTTCGGCCGTGTTCTATCGCGTGGTACCAACGGCTTTTTGAGTTTCTCCCAAAAAGTCCGAAAACTTACAGAATTTTGGGTGTTCGTATAATTATGAACCGCACTTTATAACGCTTAGGCCGTCGTGAGACACTGCTTTGACTTTACATATCTGATAGATGTTTTGTTGGAATCAAAGACAGTAAGTGATCAAGTTTTTTGAAGAGATTTATCTAAATCATTCCCTTTCTTGTTAAAGCTAAGATTACTTTTAATGTCGCGCACAGTGGACAAGTTTCAGTTGGATCGCCTTTTTGTTTGCACATTGTTACAGAGTGAGCGGACTGCTTCTAGGTACCCGTAAAGATGAGTTTTCCTTCGTTAGTTCATTTTCCCCTCGTTTTGTTCACGCCTACTTCATGGTTCCAAGAAGCCGCTGCGTAGTTTGACATTTGTTTTGGGAGGAGCATAAACAGTTCTAGAACACATGAAGATCTGAGCAAAAATAACGAAGAATGAGCGAGTGCACGAAGACGCGTTACAGGGTATCTGGAACAAAATGGTGTTATTTTTTCAACCCCGCTTCATGTTCGCAGCTTTCTCATTACAAGGAGAAGCGAGGTAGAAGAAAAGAAATGGATGAGCGATGATATGGAAAAAGGAAAGGAGTGAGAATGAACAAAAATGAAACTCACAAGGGAAGTCCGATTAATCGAAGTGGCCTTTCCGAATGAGTCATATCCGTCTTGAAGAGCGTTAAACGCTGATTCCGAATCTGATTTTATTGTCTGCCGAGCGCCTCTGCATGCCGAGTTATAAATGTTTTTTGAAGCGAAACTGAACGCAGAATTCAAGTAAAATTAACTATTACGGACTTTTCAGCGCCTAAACAGAGCAACATGTTGAATGAGTATTTTGGACAGAAGGTATCCTTCAAAATGGAGTGTTCTGATAACCAACATTGGACCATTTAGCAATTCTAACAAATTTTGCTATAATTACGCATTCATTTTTTCAACTCAAACGCTCATAACTCGGCGTCCAGAGGCGCCCGGCAGATAACGAAAACAGATTTGGAATCAGCGTTTAACGCTCTTCAAAATAGTGTGCGACCCATTTGGAAAGGCCACTTCGACTAATCCGACCTCCTTTGTCAGAAAAAAAAGAAAAATTCGGATTTCCACATCTTGAGATTTGCTGGCATGCACTAACTCAAGATGCTGTACCTTGTATGCAGCTACGTTAAACGTTGCTCACAACTGAATAGTGCTAAAATCAAGGTTGCGGACGGCAGAGACGGAGATAGCGTGGCATAGTTCATATGATCATAGAAAATGTCTGTGTTTTGGACAATATTTGTCAAGCTGAAAAGACAACCTGATAACATTTGACGCTTTGCCTAATATCCAAAGAATAAAGGCCAGATGCTAATCTAGAGAAAAGAACTTGATAAAGTGTTAAAAAATCAGGGTTGAAGCTTTTTTAAAACTTACAGTACGCCTTGCCTGTGATTCAATGCACAAACGATCTGATATAACTCCCGCTGTAGCTACAGCCCAACCTGATTCTGAAGTATCATATGATAGAATGCAATGTGCGAACCATTACTAAAATCTTCTTTTTGTGCTTATGAGATACAGATTAACGAAAACAGTGTGTACATACTTTCGGGACGCCCTGTATAAAACTCAAAGTCAAATCAAACTGTGTGAATCTCTTGACCGATTGGGCCGAACTTTGCTCTTTTATTGAAGGCCACGGTGGTTACCGGAAGATACTTTTCGCGGCAATCCATGGGTTCCTCTATTAATTTTTTGATTCTATCCAAATATAAAGAAAGGAAAGCTTAAGTTTTCCTTTCTTTATATTTGGATAGAATCAATAAGTTTTAGCAAAGCATTTCTCCTATAATCATTGAACAAAAGCGGTAAAGCTTATTTCAGCTGTTTAGCAAGATGCAGGGAGAAGAATAAGAAGCAAGTCCATTTTGCTGCAAGAACAATTTCGAATGCTTTTGCTGGAAAAATACCGGGACAGTAAGACAGTGTTAAAGCGAAAGACGGAATTGAAGGGTTGTACCGTTCGCACCCATGTACCCCGGCTACCCTGGCTGTACGCTAGTACCCTAGCTCCTATGCCGGGGTGGGACTCAGGGTACTAGTTAGTTGTTTTGAAACAAAATTGAATTTGCAAATCTGTCTCCATTGCCTTCATTATCTTACAATTAGCTAGATACAAGCTCCTCTCGGCTCGTCAAAACACTATGTTGAAGGTCCCTATCTCTTGCCCACTTCTACATGCCCATATTCTACCCCCCCCCCCCCCATTTCCTTTTCTTAATCAGCACGCTCACTTACGCCTGTGCCAACTCCCAGCCCCGTGACTCAAACTTTGCAAAAATCGATAAAATTGGCAAAAGTAATAGAAATTCTTAAGAAACTAATATTGTATTGGGGGACGAGCCGTAGTGGTACGAGCTTCGCTATGACCAGATTGGACCATTGTTCGATCCCTGTCCCTGGCTCAGCCAAGCCCTCTACTTTTCGAGATTGGTAGTCAATATGCTCAGTCCCCCCTCCCCCTCCTCTCCAAGCCTACTCCCAACCCCGTAGCCCAAACCTTGCAAAAATCGATAAAATCGTGAAGGTAATGGATAAATCTAGGAACTAATGTTGTATTCGTAATTAGTATGCTGGATTACTCCCTTGTCCCAACTTTCAAGCCCGTAGCCCAAAATCTGCAAAAAGTCGATAAAATCGACTGATCGATCTGTAACGTGGCCTACGACACCCACCCCGCCCTGTAGTGTAAGTGTACAAAGGTGGTCCGGATCGGCCTAGAAATAGAAATATCTGTCCGCTACCTACGTACATACATATGGAGCATTCGAACGTGACGATGATGGCGCGGCCACGCGCAAAACGCACGCACTTCCGGCAACCACCATCTTCTTGGTTTTCATTTTTGTTTGAATAGTTTTTGTGCTTACAGATGGTAGTATTCAGACAGTGAAGGTGACGAGCTGAGCGTTGACATGACACCTTTTTGTATAAGTGTTTTATGCTTCTGTGGGCCAAAGACCGCGGTCAAACCCGCCGTCCCAATTTTAAAAATGACCCAACCTTCAGACAGACAGATAAAGAAAGAGACAGTTAACTTTACATTCTTACAATTAGTAGTTGAAGCCTTAAGTGTTTGAAATTAGGAAACAGCTGGATAACTAATTTTTCTTAATATGTTGAATCCTTCCCACCATTCTCGTTTTCATAATTTTTATTGATAGTTTCTAAATCACAACAGATCACGATTCTGCTTTGACTTCACATTGTCAGCTGCGAACAAGAAGAATGCGTGCTTTCTCTTACTGTACATATACGTTTGCAGAGTAAAGGTAATGCATTTTGGAAGAAAACCTACTGCATTTAGATTGATCCCGAATGCGTCCAATTATTGAGCTGCAACCAGGCCAATTCTCTCGGGCGTCAAACCTAGAATATTCTTATTAATATAATTTTCTAATCCAGAGATCCGCTACTATAATACTTTGGCATATCACATCAAATAGTATTGAGGTACTTTTGGAAAAAGTTTCATTTTAATGACAGCTGTATCTCACTTTTCTGGAATAGGGTCATTGCTGTCAATTCTTACACGCTTCCGCAGTTTATCCCGAGGATCCTTGAGGTATTTCACATTCATTGTGCGAGAAGCAACAAACTCTTCAGCACCTGGCCAGTATCTTGCCTATAATTAAAACTATAATTTCCATGGAACCCGAGATAGAGAGGTGTCATTATAGGAACTTGCATGGAAGAAGTCTTGATGCTTGTTTACAAAGTCTACCAAAGCTTGACCTGTTAAGTGCTCAACTTCTCCATCTGAAAAGAGTTAATTTCAGATTGATCGTCTTACACTCTACTTTTCTACATGAGTGAGTCTGCTACTAGCGTTTATTTAATTGATCATTTATGTTTTAGCATTTAAGGTCACAAAAATTCAGGATCAAATACAGAATAACGGATTAAGACTCATCGATGCGTTTTCTTACGCTGATATCGATTAGGAGCGAACAAAAGGAAACCCACGCTGTTCGGGTTATTTTCAAACTCGGCAAATCTAAATGCTCCAGCGTGATCTCTCTAGCTCGCAAAATTCGTTAGGAACATGGTCTTGTGAGGACTTTGTGCTTATGTCCCAGCTTGCTGAAGCGTAAATACGCACAGATAAACGAATTAGTTCGTATAACTGTCCTTACCCCAATCGCTCAGTAGACGAAATCGAATTCGAATTTAACCAGACTTGCCGCGGTAGAGACAATCATTTTCAAGCATGATTAACTTCGTTTCAGAGGTAAATTAGCTATCTCTTTTTGCACTCATTGCTCTACTCCTTTTTGCCCATCTCTGAAATCTCGCTTCGAAAGACCTCCAAAATGTGGAGTTAGAAGCAAGCCAACACTCGTTTCCTACCATTTTTCGCTTTTAATAGCTGTACTTTGACCAACCATCACTCAGAGCGAATGGGAATCAGGCTCAAATCAATCCTGTGAAAATTTGGTGAAAGCACAGACATCAAAAGCGAAAAATGAGACAAACGAGATTTTGACTTGCTTCTAATTTCACAGTTTGGAAGTCTTTTGAAGCGAGATCCCAGATTTTGGCAAAGAATAAGTAGCGCTTTGTATTGAGTGCAAAAAAATAGCTAGTTTTTAAAAAAAATTAATCATGTTCGAAAATGATCATTTTACTGAAGGGGCCCAAAGTCTGAAACTTCAGAATTCGCTCAAACTTGGTCCACAGAGGTTATTTGGCATGCTAATTATGGATATATCACTAGTTAGGCTTGTCAGGGCCTGATTGAAGCTACGATTGGTATACGATGACAAGTCAATGTCTTACGGTTTGGTTTTTGCATAGTGGGGTTATCCAACAAACTTTTACGAATATCATGTTACTAGCTGGCTTACCCGGCTCCGCCGTATGTTCCGAATAGAAAATTCCATTTCTCAACCGATCCGGACCAAACTTGGCACACATACACTTCGGGCCCCGGCGGGTGTCACAGTCCATCGTTATCGATCGATGTCGATTTTATCATTTTTTGCAAAATTTAAGCTAGGGAGCTGGAATTTGGCAGAAAGGTGTAATCGAGCATACTGATCACCCCCACGGGGGTGATCAGCATGCTCGATTACCCCCCCCCCCCACCCTGTGCCAACTCCCAGCCCCGTAGCTCAAATTTTGCAAAAAATCGATAAAATCGATATCGATCGATGACGAAAAGTAGCCTATGATACCCGCCGGGGCCCGAAGTGTATGTGTGCCAAGTTTGGTCCCGATCGGTTCAGAAATGGAATTTTCTATTCGGAACATACGTACAGACAGACATGCATACAGACATACATACAGACATACAAACAGACATTCAGCTTTATATATAAGATCACTATCAGTATTACTCGATTACAACTCCTTCCTCTTCTGATTCCTCAACACAACCTCCCAGATGCGGCGTGCCACACCCCACCCCTTGACCCTGCCTATTAGCCTCAAGCTTAGAAGATTCCTTCATTGCTCAAATTTGGTTAAGATTAAATGCGAAAAAATTCTTTTTTTGGGGAGTCAGTATTTTCTAGACGGAAGGCTAGAATCGTGTTCAAACTCAGGTAAAATGTTGTCAGATATTGTGTAAAAGCAGTTGGGAAGAAAGCATCTTTGAACCCTCTTCGAATTGCGCTCAATGGTCATGCATTTATTTCCAGGGCTCAGCACAGGTGGCTCGTAAGCAACCTGGTTATCGTTTTTAGGATAAAAAACAGAGGAAGTATCGTTTTCGAGGCGGAAAAGACACAAAAATTGTGAAGTTTTACGACATTTCGTTTTTTTTTTCAGGGTTATTTTACGTTTAGGGTTTAAGGTCGAAGGGGTTTCGTAAAAAAAAATTCGAAGGTCAAGTGGGAGTTTTTTTTGCATTTTCCAAAAACCATTTTGTGCCGAGCCCTGTTTATTCCGCGCAACATCATTTGTAGCGCAGCTTTACATCGATGCCCTAGACCTTATCTTTTGGAATCATTCAACGCGATATGTCGAGAGCACTCTCCTCTACAGTGTTAAGAAGAGATTCGCGATAACGAGGGCAGTTTAGATCATGCGTGATACGAAATAGAACTAACAGAAACGTGCAGAGAAACGCCCCGTCTAGCCGAGAGAGTAAATGCGCGGCACTCAATAAGGATCCATATAACTTACATAACAGCGGCTTAAACTGTTGACGATGTATGCATTCTAAGTGCAATTTATAGAGCTTGCTCTGCATGGGAAGTGCAAATATGGGCAATGTCGGAAACAGTCGTCAAAGATCACTTCCTCTACACAGATAAGCAAAGAAGAGATCAAGTGTCTGTACAAGATCAAACAACAACGAAACATTGATTCCAAACTACCCAATTAGTGCAAATGTCTGGCCCCCAGTTCCTATCATAATTCGGAAAACTGCCGCGCTATTTTGCTTCCTATCCAACCCAGTGCTTCTTCCAATTAGAATTAGTTTTCGAGAACGTCATTTTGAAGCAATATGAAGGTTAGGAGATTAGGGAAATTTTATTTATCAATTTTACGGAGTTTCGCTGAAACCTCACTTTTGAGTGCCTTAATTTTGTGAAAATATTGCTTCTGCCTCTGGAAACAAAAAAACAGAGGCAGCTACGTTTTGTTGGAAGAAAAGAATCAGTCAATTCATGCGGCAGTACATTTTGCTAATTTTCTAGGATTCAATGCTAAATTTCACTAAAACTTCTGAACACTTACTTTGGGTCTACTACATTGTGAAAATGCTGTTTTTGCCACTAAAATCAAATGAGCAGAGGGAGTCTGCTGGAAGGGAAAACTCAACAGCTCCAGATAAAAACACATTTTTATAACTATAAATGTCGGAGACATTATAAGGAGAGTCTAGGATTGTGCATGATTGCGAGGGTAGGCTTGTGCGGTAGAAAGTCAAAGTCATGAATTCGGCTGGAGTTCGGTCCAGAGAACTTATCCGATATGCTGATTACGAAATTCATACTCTCTCTGCGTATTGGGACTTTTTCATAGAGTTATGGTCAGAGGTGCGATGGGGGGAGCCGGGCCCACCAAAAGTGAAGGTGGTCCCAGCTACCACTGGCCGGCCGAAAGTGAAGGTGGTAGTGCCGGACACTCACCTCCCAAAAACGTCAACCGGGGGGGGGGGAGGGAGCATTACTATTCTTTCAAGTCATTGCGTTAGTGCGCGGAAAATAAGCAAAGCAAATGCAAAAGGGATCATTGAAAGCATATTTTTATGTATACAGCGTCATAAATATCTAAAGTAAACGTGCCTATCAAATAATGTATTTGGAAGCAAAACTCACGGAACTGTATGTATTTTATTAATTCAATTTTGTTATAATGTACAGGAAGAAATTAGGTCGATCCAGGCAGTAACCGCCGAGAACCAGAATTTAGAATGATAAAATAATGAAAAATCGTGAAAAATCATTCCACTGTTACAAATCTGTTGGCTGAAGACCTCCGCAGTTGCGACTTTATAGGTTTTGAAGGGTAAGTGTTGTTCTACCAGAGAGTGAAAGAATCAGTTTGATTTGGGGAGTGGCCGCCGAGAACGAGAATTTTGAAAAACCTTGAAAATCTTCTCAATTTTAGGTTGCTTAATGACAACTGACATTTAAACTCTTATAAATCCGGACTTTGAAGGTGTGAGATGTTGCGACTTCATAGGTTTTGTAGGATGAGGATTGCCCTATCAGAATATGTCTTAGCTGCACCTATCCACTGAAACATCGCCGAGATCCACGCTCTTAAAGAAGCAGGTAAAAAACAGTTTTTCAGCTCATAACTTCTTCAGAATTGCATAATTCATGTTGCGACTTCATAGGTTGGATTCTCCTCATCAAGAGCTTCCAAATGATATATAATATGTGGCAGATTCACGCCTCCCACGGCATATGCCCGGGGGTGGAGTACCTCTCTTCACTAATTCTCCACTGGCGGCCCCGCCAATACATTGAAATGGGCGGGGTGGAGAATTAGTGAAGAGGAGTACTCCACCCCGGGTTAGAGCCGCAAGAAACATTAAATCCCCCACATATTATATATCATCTGAAAGCACTTGAAAAGGAGAATCTAACCTATGAAGTCGCAACATGATTCATGCAGTTCAGAAGTTATGAGCTGAAAAACGGTTTTTTACCCGCTTTTTTAAGAGCGTGGATCTCGGCGATGTTTCAGTGGATCGGTACAGCTAAGACATATTCTGATAGGGCAAACCTCACCCTACAAAACCTATAAAGTCGCAATATCACACACCTTCAAAGTCCGGATTTATAAGAGTTTAAATGTCAGTTGTCATTAAGCAACCTAAAATTGAGAAGATTTTTGAGGTTTTTCAAAATTCTCGTTTCGGCGGCCACTACTCAAATCATACTGATTCTTTTATTGTCTGATAGAACAACACTTAACCTTCAAGACCTATAAAGTCGCAACTGCGGAGGTCTTCAGCCAGCAGATTTGTAACAGTGGAATGATTTTTAAGATTTTTCATTATTTTATCATTCGAAATTCTGGTTCTCGGCGGTTACTGCCTGGATCGACCTACTACATAGATATATGCTCTTAATACTTTCTTTTACATTCCTTTTGCTTATTTTCCTTCTTTTGAGCTTTAGCAAAAAAAGTTTTCAAACCCAAAAGTGAAGGTGGTCACCCTGTACCAGCTCAAAAGTGAAGGTAGGCGGAGAATCGGCTCCGACTATCGCACCTCTGGTTATCGTGGTTATACGGTATGGGATCGAAAAGATAGATTCGCTTTAAGCTTTGTCTAGGGTGGTCTAGCGCGCTGAATATGAATATCATGCTGATTTCGCAGGATAGCGCATTTTCTTGGGTTACGGTGGGTGTACAGTAGGTGGTCAAAATTCCAAATTGATCAAAACCTTACCTGTGGTTCACAAGCATACTGCTTATGAATATGATGCTTGATCGCTGTCACAACATTATTGTGAGTTATGGTGAGTTGCAGGGTTTTAATGGACATTCTTTCGCTTTCAGGCCAATTTTGATCCCAGATATTCAAGAGATGGGGAAACGGTCGTTTTGCATGGCGGTCTCCAGTGCCATCCTGATAACCTGTCCCAACGCGTAACGCACGCGGCAAATCTCTCTTCCCGGTTTTTGCTTAAAGGCAGCGTACACCCAAGATCTAAGTTACCGAATTTCCTAGATCTTTCTATACCGTGTATATACTGGGCCCAGAAGAAGACCAACTGCGTTGGTCTGGTCTCCCAATGTTGCTTCTGAGAGGAAACCCCCCCCCCTCAATTTTCTTTCACTCCGCCCCTTTTCTTTCACTCCGCCTCCTCCGGACGAATCCACGACAGCGTAAGCTTCAGTTGCCATTGCAGTTGCTGTTGCAATGCTGTTGCATCTGCAACTGCATTTGCAACAGTGCAGTTGCTTTTTGCGGTGCGCCTCCTTCAGGCGACGAACCACGACAGCATATGCAGCAGTTGCAGTTGCAACTGCAGGCTGTCATGCTGTTGCAGCTGCTGCATGCCGAAGGGGACGAGCAGTTCGAAACTCGTCCGCCTCTGAAGAGAGGATCCCCGGAAATCGGGGTTTTTTGGGACTTTTGGAGGATTTCATCGACATAGCTGTAATCAGCAGCACGGAAAGGCCCCAGAATGACAAAAACATCGAGGGTGAAATTTTGGGTGTACGCTGCCTTTAAGCAAAATCCGCCGAAGGGTGTACCTCGCGCGGCAGTGGTCCTATAAGGAAAGCGTTACGGTCGTGGAGAACTTTTATACCACACGAATTGCGTATATCGTGGGAAAAGCACGATGTTCTTCAAACAGCACTTTAGGTGATTTCCTGTCAAGGTTTCAGGCAGATTCATGATTTTTACTCGCTGCCACGCGAAGTGACTACGATCTTTGTCTCAGCGGCTCAAATAACCCCTATATGCCGAGTTTGAGCAAGATCCGTCACAAAAACATTTTGGGGCCCGGATAGCCGAATAGCGCCATGAGCTTTTAAAATTATCCTTACTTCTATCTTTTTTATTGATTTTTTGCAAAGTTTGAGCTAGGAGGCTGGGGGTTGTTGAGGGAGGTAGATGAGCATGCTGATTCCTAACACAGCGGGAATAGGGAAATGCATGTAGAAGTGTGCACTGGAAAAGGCTGTACAGGGATAGGGATGGGTGATACTTTGTTTGACAGGGCTGGGCGAAGCCGGATATGCCAGCTATTTCTCTCCTAATGCCCCTTGACGCGGTTTTTTTGTTTGTTTGAAAACAATGAGCCTGGTTTTCTCATCTTTTATTATGAGAGTCCAAAAAATTGAAGCCATCTGCTGCGTCGAATTCTTGCGTAAACGCTGGCTCATTCCACTTCCCCCGTGTTATTATCATTATACCGTGTTGATTGATAATAGCTGTAATGCAGGTTTTCTAACTTCAAATTCAAATTTCAATTACTTTATATCGCTTGACATCAGGGCCGGTAGTAATCCCCCTGACCTGACGGCATGTTCCGCCGTCAAGTCGGCGTCATCTTTACGTGAAGTCGGCGCGAACTCCGGCCTCAAATCTGTGCCCTCCCAACCCTTTTCACCATGTATTTCCGGTCAAGGAAGTCATAATGACCTTAGGGAACCTTACCTGGCAACTTGAGGTGCTAAAAACCTCCCTAAACAGATTTGTAGAGGAAGGCATGAAGTGCTGGCGGCAACTTCGCGAGCTGACCTGGCGGCATCTCGTCGAAATTTCGGCGCTGAGAGATGGCGCCAGGTCAGAGAATAGGAAAAATAGCGTGCTCGCTTGCGAGATCAAAATGCCACCATCCTGACGTGCCCCTACCATGTCGAGGTGGCGGCACCTTGCTGGCGCCGTTTGCAAGTTTGCGAATTGCGGCGATATCACACAATTCACGTCGGGCCAAAAAAATCAAAAATTCTACTTTTCATCACAAAACTATCATTTTTTATTATGTGAGCTTTTCTTCTTCAAAACGACGGCTCTCTTACAGAGAAAACAAATCAGGTAACACCTTAGAATCATAAAGAACACCATCTTTTATGGCAATCCCTTCTAAATCTCGCCTGCACCGATTTCGCCCCTAACTCGCTCATATCAATCAGCTGTTTTCAGGTCGAAGTCTCTCACGCAATGTATTGACCCGTCTTACAGGCGGCCACTTACCGGTGCGTTCCTCCAACTGCTGGTGTAATCGGCAATTACTGACTGGATGGTCGAATGGTTAGCGCGGTGGCACTTGAAGTTAACGCATTTGGGTTCGATCGCTAGCGAGGTAGCAGTTTTGCGGCTGTCTGCGTCATCAAAACTTAATGTGCGAAATGATTGCGTATCAAGGTTATACAAGACTATTGAAACCTACAATCACTCCGCGAGCTGCCGCCGAAGATGGCAACTTTCCGTGATGTGTGCCAACTTGGCGGCATCTTTGATGCCCCCAAGTAGGGTAGATTACTACCGGCGCTATACAAAACACTTTTGCATAACTGTTATCAAGAGAAGGATTTTTTTAATCTCGAACTTGCCAAGGATCTTCTCTCAAAAACTCTAGTTTGAGGGCACTTAGTCTCGAACGTACCAGGGAAATTATACTCATTGTTCAGCCGATGTTTGATTGAGCAGCGCGTTTGTTTTTGTGGGTTTGAATTTCAAGTAATTTTTTAGGAAGTTTTGCAAAAATTGAGAGTATTCACTATACTCGGCATTTCGGAGAAATCAGAGGAAAAAGCCTGCCAATTTCCTATCATTAGCTGTACTAGGTCTGCAGCAGCTAAATAGAGCGAAGTCCTGCAATCGCTTTCCCCTTAAGACTTTTATAAAGAACCGAGTGGCTCCAATGAATAGCCATTGAGTCAGAATTTTTTTAGCATTTGTTTAAAAAATAGGATTTTAGTGAGCATCTTATAGCACAAATTCCGCGGTCGTTACACATATTTTCCAAAGATCCCACCACCGTTCTTTGGTTTAGGCTAAAGAGAAGAAGTTTCAATGTCTTGTAAAGTTTCAATGCGGGAAGAAAGTACATGCAAGAAACTAGAAACAGCTGGTTTATATGCCATAAGAAGTTTTTGAGGAGTATTTCTTCTTTAAAAAGCTAATCCTCGGCCTTGTTGATTAACCTGATAAAGCATTAACTAATAAACGTGTAGTTATCATACATACCTACATCCGACTACTCTTAGGTGCTCAGTTTTTCCAACAAACGGACCTAAAACTTCCAATTATTTCTCAGGTCGCAAATTTGAAAAATCAGTGTAGCAAGATCTAGAAAATTACAGTGGTGTCACCGCAGCTATGAAAAAATAGGCTAATCTTACAAGGAGGTGATGAAGTCGAAATGGCCGATCACCGCAAATTGCACACCGTTGATGAGAGCTTGGAGCGCTGATTCTAAATCTCTCTCATCGACTGCAGAGCGCATGTGGAAGAAAAGTTATGAGGCAATTGTGGGTCGAAATATGAACTAATAGCGGGATAAATATAATTGCTATAGTATAGTCATCAAATGAAGCAGCGGCAAGTGCCAGGATATTTCGTACACTGAACTTCCTCTGCATAGTACATATATCAGTACTTCTTATTTCTCCATTCGACGTCTAAGATTTAACGAATATTCTTATCTCAAAATGCTCTTAAAAGCCGTGTTCAGGAAAATCTGGGCACATGGATTCTTTGCCTGGAAACTGCCGACTAACTAGGAGGCTCTAGCTAAGGCACTGCCCAAACCGCAGCGCAATAATCCAATCACGGCTGAAAAATCCATCCACAAATACTCCACTGCTGCGCCGTGACCGTAACACTTAGGATTCGTCCCAGCGCAAACGTAGTGTTGATATGAGCGAAGTCCTTTTTGGGTTACGATCACGGCGCAGACACGGATTTATCTGGGACGGATTTTTCAGCCGTTATTAAACAATTTGCGCTGCCCCTTGGGCAGTGCCTTAGTTAGGACCCCTCATCAATTTCTGCGAAAGACCATGCGATCAGATTTGCCTGGACACTGCCTTTAACTTCTTTCGCATAAAGAGCCCTGCAGACGAGGAGAGCATATTTCGAATTAGCAATTTAGCGGTTCCAAACAGACAGTAATGGCATGCAGCTTGTTGTGGTTAAAGGCAGTGGGTCGGCAGAATGAGACCCGTGGCAAAACAAGGTCACAGGGTAGGAGCCCCAAAATGGAACCTATGGGCCAAAGTTCGATCTTTCTCTGCCACTTCTAACCCCCAAAATTTCAAAGCGAAAGCAGCGCTCATCTGTGCCCTCTCCGAACCCGCCCACCCCATAAACGAGTGACTTCCGCAGTCAGAGCGCCAGCCGCAATGCTATAAGCATGAGGTTCCGCAACGACTCTGCGTCTTTTGCCATAACGGGCTTCGCGTTCACTCGTTCATGGGGTGGGCGGATTCGGAGAGGACAAGAGATGAGCGCTGCTTTTGTTTTGAAATTTCGGGGATTAGAAGTGGCAGAGAAAGATCGAAATTTGGCCCATAGGTCCATTATGGGGCTCCTAGCCTGTGACCTTGTCTTGCCACGGGTCTCATTCTGCCGACCTACTGCCTTTAAGCACTTCGACTTCGTAACCCTCCCTGGTCAGTTATGGAAACTCGTGTTAATACATAAAACTATCTTTGTGATCAGAATTGACGATGACTGCTTTGAAACTACTGCTTACAACTGGTACTTTTTTGGCAAAAAATGTTAAAGACAGTCTAACAACCTGCTATAGCCGTTAATGATGCCAGCATTGCGAGATGTATGATCATCTTTGCTATGCAAGCTATTCTGAGCATATTGCTCTGCAGCGAACCTGAAAATGATGCATATATGAACTCATAAATTAAGTCAAACAAATTTATGGCAGTGGCACCCTCGTGAATTGTTATATGCATTAGGATTATATCAAATGCAGTGACACAATGAAGACTAAATCATAGGTTCAATGTCTATAGTTTGAATCTAACCCAATTATCATCGAACGATTTTTTTGCATAGTGGATCGAACCTCTGTAATGGAGGGATGCTTGAAACATAGCCTTATGTTCTACTTACTATGCAAATTAAAAGTAAGCAATGTTGAAAGAAGAAGCCACTATGTCCTAAGAAGGATAAAAACTCTTGGTTTCAAATGGTAAGCATGAAGTCCACTTATAATGAGGCCCTATGGGCGATTTGAAGCAAACAGTCAACTGGCCGCAACCGTAGGATTGTAATCTCGACTTTAGAAAGGTCCCATAACTTTTCTTACTTTCACTTCCCTTAAAGGCAGCGCCCACCCAAAAGTTCGTCTTTCATGTTCTTATCGTTATGCCTTTCCATGGCGTTGATTTCGGATATGAGGGTCAAATTAAAAAGCTCCAAAGTTACTCCTTTCTGAAGCCCAGCCTTATTTTGGCAGAGGTGGACGAGTAGCACGGCGCTAGTCACGTCCTATGCAACAGGAAACCTTGTCGTGTGCAAGATGCTACATTCTTGAACCTCCACGCACGTCACGGGGAATCCGTGGTTGGGCGGAGCGCAAAGAAGGTTCAGGTCCGTTATCTTTTTTTTGTAGGCAACATCAAGAGACCGGACCAACGTCTACTTTTGAGGCCTGCTAGTAGGATGAGTATTAGTCTGGGATAAATAGAATTGGGTGGACGCTGCCTTTAAAGGCAGTGTTCACGTAAATTTGGACATACGGGGTTCTGATATGGAAAGTATTTTTGGGGCCCTAACAAGACACTGCCAGCGGCAGCTCAAATGATGAACTCACAGTTGAGATATTCGCCTCCATACTGGACCCCGTGATCGTATTCGCATGGATTCATGGCGTGACACACGTGGGTCCTGCGCGAAAATGATGTGTCGCGCTATGAATCCATGTGATACGATCCCGGGGTCCAGTTTGGAGGCGAATATCTCAATTGTGAGCTCACCATATGGGCTGCCGCTTGGGCAGTGTTTCAGTTAGGGCTCCACGATTACCCTCCATATGAGATCCCCACAGGAGCAGATTTGCCTGGACGCTGCCTTTAAGCGGTTTTTGTTGCGCAGAGAAGGAAAGGCGTGACTTGTACAACGACCAGACATTGGAGTTGTTTCTCTCGTACGCATATTATCGCACCGTTAGCGAAGAGTGCTGAAACAAAAGCTCGCCTCCAATCTAATCATATTCATCTATCATCATTTTAGTTCAGAAGCGAAATGCGTATGGTGATATGGTGCGAAATCTAGCATAGGAGCTGGATTGTGTCTGTACCCTAAAGTCCCGCCAGTAAGTCCGGACTTATCTGCAAAAAAGCGGACTTATCTGCGGGACTTTTGGCGGCGTGAGGGTGCATTTCCATAGAAAAAAACGGACTCATGTGATGGATGACTTATCTGAGAGGCGGTATTGTAGGGATTCTAGGGTAATTATTTTCGTGGTCTTCACTCATAGATTTATGCCTTGAGAAGCCCCAGCATTGATAAGCGGGTTAAAAATCTATTCTTATAGGTCGTCCGGAAAGTTCATTCTCACAATTTTCAGAAATTCATAACTTCTGATTTTTCCGATCGATTTGACTGCTTTTGCTTTTATGTGAAACAAAATCATGGTCTCTACAATAACATTTTAGCTGCTTACAAACGATCATCGGTTGCATAGATAGGAGCAGTAGAAAGAAATTACTCAAAATTCGAATTTTCTGTGCAGAGTCATAAAAAATCTGAAGCTTGCAATAAAAATCGGAGCAGTTGGTATTATAGTTCCCGTTACCTGCTCTTTCTAGCTGTGCAAAGCTTGTGCTAGTCGAAGGTTTCTATCAAAAGTATGATTTACGAGAAAAATGCCAAAATAAATCATTGCCTTTTTGTATTACTTGCCCGAAAATCATAACTTTCAATTGGCACAAACTTTTCAAAGTTAAAAAGAGCAGGTAATGGAACCTATAATACCAACTGCTCAGATTTTTACTGCAAGTTTCAGATCTTTTATGACCTTATACGAAATTCGAATTTTAAGTAATACTAGCTGGCTTACCCGGCTCCGCCGTATGTTCCGAATTTGGCACACATACCCTTCGGGCCCCGGCGGGTGTCACAGTCCACTTTTCGTTATCGATCGATGTCGATTTTATCGATTTTTTGCAAAATTTGAGCTACGGGGCTGGGAGTTGGCAGAGGGGTGTAATCGAGCATGCCGATTACGAATACAATATTAGTTTTCAAAACCGTGCATTACTTTTATCGATTTTATCGATTTTTTGCAAAATTTGAGCTAGGGGTTGGAGTAGCCTATGACACCCGCCGGGGCCCGAAGTGTATGTGTGCCAAGTTTGGTCCGGATCGGTTCAGAAATGGAATTTTCTATTCGGAACATACGTACACACAGACATACAGACAGACATACAGACAAACAGACATTCAGCTTTATATATAAGATTTCTACCGCTTTTATCTACACAACAATGATCGTATTTTGCATTAAAACGTCATTATAAAGAGCATGATTTACTCTTTAACAAATAAAAGTGGTAAAAGTGGTTGGAAAAATTAGAAGCTATGAATTTTTGAATGTTGTGCCAACGAACTTTCGGGACGACCTGATAGGAAGCGGACAAAGAATTTTGTCCGCTCACTATCGTTGAATAGTCCGACAATGAATTATTGATTCTATTGAATTGGTGTTTTATTTAGCCTCATGTTTTTGAGTAGATCTCACCATTCAAAAACAAAGAAAACATAGGAGGAAAGAGTTGCCGTAAAGGTTCTTTTTTCCGAAATTTGGCTTGACTGAAATTCAAAAAAATTGCTTTTCTTGGGATTCAAGAACAAAAGAAATCAAGCAAGTCAAAGCTTAACGCATTGTTCAATTGATTACTTTGACCACTTTACCGCTTTTCACCATATTATCAGTCAGATACGAAATTCGCAATTGTCACTTCTAATAGTTTGCTCTCATTTCAAATGTTTCCCTTTTTACATGCGTGGTTGAGGCAAAAGATTATTAGTCTAATACGACGTTTTGGGGTAATTTGAAAAGAGCTTGCTCAAAGTACTAAAGCCAAGTTGATGTATGAGAGCCATTCTAAGATATATAATAAGACATTCTTAAGATTGATAATAATACATGCCAGAAAATGTCAAGAAATTGTCAAGATGTCAATTTATGCTAAGAATCAGAAGAAAAGAGGACTGCGCATTTACATCGATAAGGACAGTTTTTAAGCTGCTCTAGTCACGTTTCCCACTGACAGCAGCAATAAAAGATACAGGTGTTAACTGTTTTTTATTAGGAGCATCATTTATAGACTTTATGAACTATCGCTTATGTAATAAACAAAAAGTTTGCTTGCATGTTCTTTGGCTTCCAAGCGTAAGCATATTTTACTATCAAATCCAACATCAAAATTGTCTTTACGGAACGTACCAATGCACTGGAGCGTTTTACAATGCCTTTGGGGAAATTGTTGTAATCATCTCCGTTTCCCATATACTTTGTTTACAGATTGCTCCGCGCCTTCGCTCGCCAGATGCCGCTAGATAAGGAGGGAGGAGCGGTCTGAAGACAGTGAGGAACCGACGACCCACGAGCCACCTCGTCTATGGGCTCAGACCTCTTTATTCTTGTGCTTTATTGTTGTTTGTTTTCCCGGGATATCGATACTCATTGTTATTTTGGTGCTATAACGATAAACGCGTATGTTGGAAAGTGTTTTTGGACATGTCCGAGGCTAAGTTATGATCTTGTATGGTATTTGCCATTAAGAGGGTGGGCAATATATCCATAAGTGGTAACAGCGAGTGCGGACTCATAGTAGTCCGCGATCTCACCGACTTCTCTTCTTTTTAGAAAGATGGATTCCTCATGGGAATAGCCCATGAGGTGGCCGGTTAAGCCTCGACAGGGGGTAATTTTTGGGGTAGAAAGTTTTGCAGCGCGGAGTCTGGAGGACTGCAGCCTCTCAGATTCATAAACTCTCCTAATTTTCTCCACAAAATTGCCTTTTCTATTTTTGGTGGGAATTTCGCTAAATTTTCAATACATAAGAATAGAGATCAAAATTCCTCACTCTTCTCGTCACCTTTATGGAACCTGAAACACAAACATTGTCAACAAGTGGTATTTTTGATACCATTGTCCATTGAAAAGTCTAAGTTCCAAGCGAGTTCTCTCTATGACAATTTCTCCAAAATCCCGTTCCTTTGCAGTCTTCTATATAGATGCTGTTACACATTTATATAGAAGACTGCAAAGGAACGGGATTGATAGTATTTGCGCTAAAATCTTTCATACATTTCATCTGAAATGCAGTTCTCTATCTTGATCCATCGTATTATTTAACAAACACCAAATTCCACTATCGCTAAATTTTTAATGCCAAAATCTATCATTTCTTTTTCCACCAAGTCTGCCCAGAAACTATGAATCGCAATACCACAGTTTTGCTGTAATCTGGTCAGTTTTGGCTTCCTTTTAGTGTATCTTGATCATTCAAAATACTCATATAATGCAAACCCTCAGATTTCGCGATTTTGAACATTTGGTGCACAATTTCAAATTTGAATGCCTAACTTGACCCTTTGTGTAGATTTTTCCTTGTTAGCACTCCAACCCTCTTGTCACTCATCCCAGCCCGTTGCCTCATGCGAATTTTTGGTAAACTCTTTCTTCATCGTAGACAAAGCTCATGAGCAAATGCACGTTTTCCCTTTCAAGTTTGAGTTCTTTTCATGCTCCGAATTGTAAACATCCATGTTTCCAAAGCGCGATAGCATCTTTGTTTCTCTATTCGAGTAACCCTTTCACAAAGCATTGTCTTATCTAAGCTTTCATCAAGCATATGTTGCCAATGAAAGAAACAAAGATCCAGCGCTCACAAAGAGCACATACCATTGGTGATAGTATATAATACCCAGACTCAGGAAACCGGCACCCATCCCACAGCTGAGGACCTAGAGGAGCAGCGCCTTCTCCCTACTCAACTCAACATCGCACGGATCAACACACGTTCCCGAACTACAACGCAGGACAACAGCGCTCTTCTCGATCGTCACCTCCAGAAACAGCGAGTTCAGGTGAGTCGGTTCTATTCACTGGTGCAGGCATGGCCTCACCAGAGGTGAGTGTTTTAACACAGACTTATGGCGGGCTTACCCTCGGGAAGCTCGCGCCCAAACATATTGAATATTTCTTGGGTGACAACACCCAAGATTTCAACGAATGGCATCGCCAATTCGAGGAACTCATTCGTAATTCCATAGTGCCGCTTCCTGAGCAGTGTAAGGTAAATGCGCCATATGCCACTCTAAGGGGGGATGCGCGTGATATCATTGAGGAAATGCCTCCTGAAGACAAAACTAGTTACGAAAAAGTGGTCGCATTTCTACGCACGCATTTTGAATATCCGCAGTTTCGCGCCCTAGCCAGACAAGAGTTGTCTAACTGTAGGCAGAAAGAAGATGAAGATGTGCATTCATTTAGTAACCGCATCAGGAGAGCTGTCCAAAAGTTACTAAAAGGGGCGCCTAAAGAAATGGTACAAGACAGACTTTTGGAAGAGTTTGTGGAGCGTTTGCAGCCAGAATCGAAATTCCATATCAAGTCGCTAGACCCCGCGACTTTTGATGAGGCTTTGAGAAAGGCGCGTACATACGAGTCTCTTTGCAATCAAATGGCCGACGTTATGGTTTACCATCCAGGTCTGCATCGATACGTCGCGAAGAAACACTTGGATGAATCAAGGAAGGACTACAGTCAAGAAAGAAGGGAGCCACCACCCAACAACTACCGGCCTAGAGAGGTAAGACTGTTTAATAAGTTCAATAAACCATGGGTACGCTCTTCTAACTCAAATGTCACATGCTATAAATGTGGCAAATTAGGGCACTTCGCTAACGTTTGTCGCTCTAACGTGCCTCCTCCAGCCAATTTTCAACCGCGGCGTCATCCAATTAGAAACAACCCCCAGCCAAATTCAAACCATAGGCAAAATCCCCGAACGTATAGATCACTCTAGACCTCTGACGCAACGTAATCCAATACCGCAGCAGCGCCCAGACACTTACAATAGGTCCAATGTGCTCGCTGTAGAACAGAACTCAGCGCCGGATATCACTAATCCGAAAACTCAATCTCTGATAGAGCAGAAAGATGCCCATATCGCGGCGTTGATCGCCAGAAACAACGCGTTAGCAGACACTGCGTTTGCAACCCGTGACTCAAACACTTCTGTTAGCAGTGAAGAGACATCTCGACGCTCATTCTCTCCAAGTTCCGGTCCTTCAAAACTTGCTACTTGTTTGACAATTCTTGCTATGACTTCTACTGTGTCCGCCTATGATTTACCTCCTGCGTATTTGTGTTCTCAAAAATCACCAACAACCTATTAGAGGATACCATCTGAGATAAATTGCTCTAAAATTCTACCAAGCTGGTCCGCAACTGCGCATCCAATGAAGCTCAAAGTATTTAGACCCAATACCATACGGTACAAAAGTACTGCTAATGTCTGCAGAGTAATCACGCAAACAGTCTTTTATTGTGTGAACTTTTTCGGCGCTCGCACACAAAGAAGTACATTAAAAGAGCAGACAGTCTCAAAAGGCGTCTGCCAGCACATGATTAGTCACAAAGTCTGCGCTCATGGCGAACTCTCCCCGATAGGTAATGTTTGGAAGACTTTGAATAAAGTAGAAATAGATTGGCCTTCGGCACCGTTCCATTGTTGCTCTGAATGCACTTTAACAGTATCCAATTGTGTTATATTCCAGGCTGTAGTTTATGGATATCATGGACCGCCAACAATCGAGAGACGATAGGACCACTACAAGGATGCCGTGAAGACGGAACATGCACAACAAAGGATGGAGCGGCTGTGATTTGGACACCGGAATCAGAGGAAAGATGTAAGTATATTTTAGTTGCCCCCATGAAGGGTACTTTAGTAGATAAAGTTTGCTTGAGTGATACTAAGGAATTTGCACTCTCATTTCCTTCTCTTGAATCTCATTTCCTCGATTGTGGTCACACTCTTACTCTCATTGATCAGGGTTATGCCGTTCAATTTTATCACTCTCTCTCACGTCAAAAAAGACAATCTAAGCCAACTATTTTGCAACAGGTTGGCGTTGCCACTACTAATCAGTTAGCTGCCCAACTCTTAGCCGTAGAAGATACCATGCAAAACTCTTTGAGCGCATCTTTGCATCACTCAATTCTCTCATTATGCAAACCCTTGAATTCGCTTAGCGCATCTCTTGCCGCAACTGTCTCCGCCAATCCTACAGTAGCCATGAGAAACATTTTGCAGCGCGCAGGCATCAAAGCAAAATATCTGGGCGCTAACATTATGCACGCAGGCTTGTGCGGCGATAGCTCCGTCATCCTATTCTCTGTTGAATCTCAATACTTCTTGCTTTTCACATCCATCGGTGATCGTGACCCTACCAAATAAATCTCAGTGGAAGACCTTCATTGAGCCAATCACTGGCATTCTAACCAACGAGGTCGACCACATCTTATGTTCTCATCAATTAGTGTTCTCATTTCCGAATAATAATTCTATTCTCGAATTCCATCCAATGTCCGGCACTTTTGAGCTCATTCTTCCCTCAGACATCACGACTCTGCAATTATCCACCGATCAATCATCTGGTAACATTGAACCTGCGCTCACTCTGTTCCATAACCTTGTAATAACTAATCTAAGCGAATTCGTTCCCGAACAACAATTTAGTGAGCTATGGGCAACTCTTGAGGCGAATGAGGCGGTTTTGCGTTTTGCGCATGTAGATAATCCAGCTTCAAATCAGTTCAATCATCACATATCCTCTACTTTTGACTCCGCTCCCCACAGCTTACTTGATTACGTATTCTCTTATCTTTATCAACCTTGAGTTGGCATTTGTTGCGCTATAGTTACGTTACAAGTTCTCCTTCGCGCCATAATGCTTTATTTCTCACTGCAAATAACAACCAATATCATCAACTACGCACGCAGATTTCGGTCATTTAACCAAAGTCAAGCTCCTACTATATCTGGTACTGATAATGCAAATGCGGTCCAACTCACAACAAGTAAAACCTTTGATTTACCAAAAGTTTGCAATGTCTCTCTTACGCATCCTATTATATCCGCGCATATCAGAATCAAAGTTAATGACATTAGCGTGTCAGCGCTAATTGATACTGGTTCTACCATTACATTAGCTTCCGACGGTCTATGCGCAGCGCTAGGAATTTTCAAACTCGACAAATCCCAGTCGTTCGCAGCCTTAGGCATGGCCGGCACTCCTATCCCAATGGCTGGTTCCAAAACCGTCAAACTAGACATAGGTAACATACAGCTATATGCGGTTCTCCACTTCACCATAGGCCATTGTGTACCCAATGTGGACTCCAATTATGAAATGATTCTGGGACACGATGTCCTTTCGCAGTTGCCACCAATGGCTATCGATTACAAAACAAAACAAGTTCACTTTGGCGCCACAACTTTAATGCTGGGCACCACCTTCAAAAAGAATTGCGATGTTACTGATCTAGAGTATCCAATAAGGGTAAAAGAAACAAAGTGCCTTCAGCCCATTGCAGAGTGCTTTGTTTCATGTGCTGTTCCAGTAACATCTAAAAAAGATCTGGTTTTAGTATCGCAGTGTGCGAAGCTAACTAATAAGGAGCTCATAGTAGCGCCAGCCATAATCAATTCCGAGACACCATATATTTTGGTGTCTAACCCAAGCAACGAGCCGGTAACTCTATATGCCGGAATGCGTTTAGCTAACGCTTCTGGAATTATTCAAAAGGGTCTTACTGCAAGTGAATTACATGACACGCCAATGCCCGCAATCTCTTGAGTAAGCGAATTAACTAGCGATGACCCGAGCTACCGCGTAGATCTTGACAACAGCGATCTAAGCGATGTAGAACGTAAGCAGCTGGCAAATTTGCTTATAGAATATGCCGATGTATTTTCTAGACATCAGTATGACATAGGTAGCTGCACAGCTGGTAAGGTGCACATTTACACCAATAATGATCCACCAGCATTCGTCCATATCGTGTTCCAGTAAAATACCGCGAAGAACTACAGAAACATGTAAATATGCCCTTAAAGTGCGGAGTAATGAAGGAGTCACACACTCCATGGGTGCATAATTTGGTTGTAGTGCGTAAAAAGGACAATTCACTGCGCGTCTGCCTAGACATGCGCCGTCCTAGCAATGAAGTGACTTAACACGTCCTGACCCGTACCCAATCCTCCGCATCGACGATGTGCTAGAGAAAGTTGGTGGAAATAAGTATTACACCACTCTAGATCTCGCTAGTTGCTATCTACAACTGCCGCTAGATGACGAAAGTAGCTATAAATGCGGCGTTATTACTGAGAATCGCGTATATCAGATGACGCACTTACCATTTGGCCTTAAGTCCGCTAGTAGTTACTTCGCTCGCATAATGACCCGCGTGTTAGGAGGTTTAGAGGATAATGTGCTTACATACATCGATGACATTCCAATCTATAGCAAAGACTTCCCGCCACACCTCAGCGCCATCCGAAAAGTGTTAACCCGCTTGCGCGAATTTCACCTAAAAGCATCGCCGAAAAAGTGCGTCTTTGCCAAACATCAGATCACTTTCCTGGGTCATACGGTAAATATGCATAGCTACTCACCTGCGGAGGCAAATACCCGATCCATAAGAGAATTTCCCACCCCGCGCAACGTCAAGGAAGTCAAGCGTTTTGTGGGTATGGTAGGATTCTTTCGAAAATTTATTCCAAACTTTGCAAACATTGCTGAGCCGCTTACTTGGCTAACGCGTAAGGATAATAAATTCCAGTGGACCGACAAGCAGGAAGCTGCCTTCGTAGAGCTTAGAGACACGTTATTGCAAAAACCCATCCTCGGGTACCCAAATTACGATAAACCGTTTCACATTTTTGCGGATGCCAGCCAGGTAGCTCAAGCGGGCGCACTAATGCAGGAGCACGAAACGGGGCCAAATAAATACTATGCCATAGCATACAGTAGCCGCACTTTGAGCGATAGCGAGCGTCGCTGGCCCGCGGTACAAGTAGAACTAGGTGCGATTATATATGCGTTGCGCCAATTCAAGCCATATATCTGTATGTCCGAAGTAGTTCTACATAGTGGCCATAAGCCGCTCACGTTTTTACTAAATAAAAGCAAAACGCATGACAACCTGGCAAGATGGATAATTGAGCTGCAGAGTTACAACATCAAAGTTGTACACGTAAAAGGCGAAAAGAATACGGTAGCCGACGCATTATCGCACATTTTCGAGGACAAAAGCGAAATCCCAGTAGTTAGGGACGAGTTGCAAGACATCATTGAATTCCCAGTAAGTTTAAAAACATTCTGCTTAGCTACAGGTGTGCAAGCTAAATCTTCACCATTTCCCAGAAAAACGTTTGTAAAAGGCCTACAACACCCTGTTAACTTTGCAGATGAACAAAAATTGGATAGCTTCCTAGAGTTAGTTCTCCAGCTAAAAACTACTGGAAACTTGGAACCGTCTACTGATAAGCAAATCAAAAAAGAAGTATCAGAGATGGCAAACAAAACAACTATAAAATCCGATGGTTGCTTATACTATCGATTTGAACGAAAAGATGCAGTAAAACTGCTCTTATTGGTACCACAATCATTGCGTCAACTGCTCTTTGAAGCTCATCATTCTAGCGCACTTTCAGGAGGCCATGTCAGCTGGCGAAAAACATAAGCCAAGATTTTGCGTAAGTACTATTGGCCAACAATTTATAGTGACATACACAAATGGTGTG